CTATATATATATATATATATATATATACACACACACACACACATAGACACAGTCTGTGAAACCACTGAACATACATTTTAATTAACCAACATCATGTTTACTGTCAAAAATAAAAGTGATTAAATTATAGCACCCTTCTTCATTGTTAACATTAGACTAGTCACAGTTCATCAACCCACAGCCCAAACATCGGGCTAAGCACTCTTTTTCACAATTTGACACTTTCTGTTATACAATGTTGTCAAATTGAAAAAAACAAAGAAAAGAGAGAGATAACCTTGCCTAATATCTAGGCTAATCTAACCAGTGTTACTGGCAGAGCTGACATGGGCGTTTGAATTACATTTCTGACCACTGTGAGTGTGAATGATGCAAGACGTGCCACAAAGCTAAGTTTAGAGTCAAAGTTAATCTTAAGTTTAAAAACTGACTGCCCGACTCAACATTTTAAAGTTAGCCTATGCCTTAAGGTTACACTCAACACAAAATTCAAGTTCAATATATTATTTTTATTATGTACTTCAGGTAATATATATATATCAATTACAAGAATATCTCACGTTAAAGCATGAATTTGGGGACAGCTTAAATTTAAGTTCTAATATAAAATAACAAATCCAAACTTCATTTGGTATAAACTATAGTACAACTTTTTAGTTTTACTATGCTATAAGTATAGGCACTAACACTAGTATTAGTAGCAGTAATATACTCACTGTACTGTATAGATCTACGTTCGTATTAGTACCATTAGTATAACACATGTCTATCTATGTCTACTAGTATGATAACTGATACTCATTATTACTATTATACCTGCTCGGATATTGATACACCTTGAAGTCCGATGTCCCCACTTGCTTCCTTATTACTTAAATACCATCTAAATTATTTGTTGTTACTACAAAACCTTTTTACACACTAGTACACGTCATTGATTGTTCTTTTCCTTAGTTTTTCAACATGTAGCGCGATCTAGCGGATTAATATTATTAAATATTGTTAAATGGTTTAAATATCTCGATTAAAATTTTAAAATCTACATTTATATAATTATAAATGTGCATAGGTTCAATAAGATCGTCTTACAAATCTGAAATAGTACGGATCAACGAAATTTGTTAAAATAAAAGTTTGTGTTACAGTACATCCATTTTTTTTACAACGTTGTTCAATAGATTGGACCTTATAGAACTATGCCAATTAAAAACGTTTATTTGTTTGTTGTAAAGTACAAAGCTACATAATAGGCTATCTATGCTTTTCTCACCACGGGTATCAAAATCCAATTTTTAGCGTTGTAAGTCTTACCGCTGAGCCACCCAAATGAAAAAGACTAAATGAATTTAGGCAGTATATACAAGACATATTGTAGCAGACTTATAAAGGACGCAAGCTTATAAAATACAATTAATTAGTCGTCCTTATCCGGTGTTGCTCGTGTATTACTTGAACAGGGAGCAGTTGTTTGGTTATTTTTAAACAGATAGGATGAAACGAAGGTCTCGTGTTCTTGGTGTTTCATGCGAACGGCGCTCTGCATGGCGGATGACGTCACTGTCTCTGCGAAATTGCCGCTCTTGCGCAGTCTCCACTTGACGATGAGCAGCTTGTATTTTAAGTTGGCTGTCAAGGCGTATTTCTCTTTCTTGTGGAGTATCTTTTGGTGCATAGGTTTCGCTGTTTGTGATTGGCAATCAGAATTGTTTTTCTCGGCATTTTACTATGAAGTATATAATCAGCGTTAGAAATGTTCATCATACCTGTTACGACAGTGGGGGTCACGTGACGAGTATTCTAGAAGATTCGCTAGTGTGTTACGACAGCGGGGTCACGTGACGAATATTCTAGAAGATTCGTTAGTGTGTTGCGACAGCGTTGCGTCAAATGACGCTGGTAGCACGTGTTGAGAGTCTTAGAAGTTTCAAGAACAGGCAGTATTATCGTATATAAATGCGCTAGACAGTGAGAGAGACAGACGGAGTCGAAGCAATAGTGGAGACAGAGACGTAGCGGAGACGAAGCAGGCAGAGAGAAAGAAAGACAGCAGTTACGGTCGGCGGGAATTGAGGATAGCAGACACAGAGATCTGAACTATAGTTTGCAGGGACGGACAATTAAGTCTAAGCGCGATAGAAAGTGAGTGAATTGTTGTGAACTATAGTGTGTGTAACTGTGAAAATTAAGTACACTACAAAGTTGTATTGAGGAAGAATAAACAAGTTTATAAAGAAAGGACTTGTATCTTGTAAGAATTAACAAACAAACATACAGAGACGTAACATACCTAATACTCTCTCCCTTCCCAAAATAAAGTAATTATAACCAGTTTATTTTTGCATAATTTCGTGGGCTCAACTTGTTTATTCTATAAAACAATTAATCTTGCTTGTCAGTAGAAACAACAACGTTTGATGGATATTTATTCTGACATCATAACAGCAGCACACATCTCTATAAAATACACCTAATTTTTTCTTACCTTACTTCCAATTAAATCAGACCAAAAATCCGGTCCGTCTTTTGTAGAAAGATTTAAATTACAAAGTTTTCATTGACATTTAAAAAGGTGACGAGTGATTCCATATCTTTTTTAGGCCTACTATTATATGGGCTGAAAGGTGCGAACATACAGACACAAACTTAGCTTTAAATGTTAGATTAAATAGAGATAATTTCCAGTTTGGCAGTATTTGAAAAAAAAGAAAGAAAATTCGACCTTCACCATGTCTGTTTTATCCCAGCCGGCCTGATGAGCCCCGGCATTGGGTGAAAGGCTCCTCAGCAACCGATATTACAAATATAGTAAGGTTGGCATATTATTCATTCAATCTTTACTTACACTTATAAGTTCTTACAGTTACCAATTGTTGTTTTTTCTCCTTGACGCTGTAGTCATTTCACCGGCTTACACTTCCGGATGAAAAAACAACACTAAAAAAATTGCTTCAAGTACAATAAGCAAAGAAATAAATAATATTAATAATGAAGAATTTAGTATTAAAATAAAGAAACAAATTGATATTAATAAATATCATAAACCTAATTCTGATGTGATAAAATTAATGAAAAATTACTTAAGCCTAGTTCCCCCTTAAATTGTTTGTTTGTTATGAATTTCGCGCAAAGCTACACGAGGGTTATCTGCGCTAGCCGTCCCTAATTTAGCAGTGTAAGACTAGAGGGAAGGCAGCTAGTCATCACCACCCACCTCCAACTCTTGGGCTACTCTTTTACCAACGAATAGTGTGATTGACCGTTACATTATAACGCCCCCACGGCTGAAAGGGCGAGCATGTTTGGTGTGACGTTGATTCGAACTCGCGACCCTCAGATTGCGAGTCGAGCGTCCTAACCATACTATTACTGCGTGAAAGACTTCCGACGATACTAAATACAGCACGTATGTAATAGTGTGGTTGACATGTTATTGTAGTCTTCGCATTTACTTTCACTAATAATTTCTTATTTTATTAAAAATACAGAGTTGATATGTTTTAAATTCATAGCGTATTTTTATGTTAAAATTTCGTCCTTGAAAGTTAACTTGTCACTTCTCGATCTACGCTTGTAATGGATTTTTGGTGCTTGTTCGACCCGAAAACAAAAAGATTAGGTTGCTAGTTCTTGTGAATGATAGTAAAGTTAATTCCAATAAGATAATATTAATTAATACTGCTATGAACTCGTATTTTTAAAATCTGACTTGTAGATGACTTTAATAAAACTGATAATAATTAGAATTCCTTTTCTTTATCTAATTCACATCATAACAGTAGTTTTTCATGAACGTTAATGATATAGCCGGTCTGATTAGCCTTGCTATTAGTTGAAAGGCCTTGTTGGCACTGGATATGTAACTCTTAGACTTTACTATAGATATTATTATTGTTGACATTATGTTATCGCTGCGTTGTAACATTATTGAGATTACACAATCTGTAGTCCCCTCGTTGGTCAGCGGTAAGTTTTCGGACAACAATGCTAAAACCTGGCTTTCGATTCCATGCAATAGTGGACAGAGCGCAGATAGCCCACTGAGTAGCTTTGACCTAAGCAACCAACAACACTATCTGTGTTGCAACATTATTGACACTACATATTCTGTGTTGTAACATTATTGACATTATATTATCAGTGTGCAACACTATTTACATTACACTGTCTGTGTTGTAACATTATTGACATTATATTATCAGTGTGCAACACTATTTACATTACATTGTCTGTGTTCTACCATTATTTACATTACATTGTCTGTGTTCTACCATTATTTACATTATATTATCTGTGTTGCAACACTATTTACACTATCTGTGTTGTAACATTATTGACATTATATTATCAGTGTGCAACACTATTTACATTACACTGTCTGTGTTCTACCATTATTTACATTACACTGTCTGTGTTCTAGCATTATTTACATTATATTATCAGTGTGCAACACTATTTACATTACACTGTCTGTGTTCTACCATTATTTACATTACATTGTCTGTGTTCTACCATTATTTACATTATATTATCTGTGTTGCAACACTATTTACATTACACTGTGTGTGTTCTACCATTATTTACATTACACTATCTGTGTTCTAACATTATTTGCATTATATTATCAGTGTGCAACACTATTTACATTACACTGTCTGTGTTCTACCATTATTTACATTACATTGTCTGTGTTGTAACATTATTGACATTATATTATCTATGTTGCAACACTATTTACATTACACTGTCTGTGTTCTACCATTATTTACATTACACTGTCTGTGTTCTAGCATTATTTACATTATATTATCTGTGTTGCAACACTATTTACATTACATTGTCTGTGTTCTAACATTATTTACATTACACTGTCTGTGTTCTAGCATTATTTACATTATATTATCTGTGTTGCAACACTATTTACATTACATTGTCTGTGTTCTAACATTATTTACATTACACTGTCTGTGTTCTACCATTATTTACATTGCACTGTCTGTGTTCTAGCATTATTTACATTACATTGTCTGTGTTCTAACATTATTTACATTACACTGTCTGTGTTCTAGCATTATTTACATTATATTATCTGTGTTGCAACACTATTTACATTACATTGTCTGTGTTCTAACATTATTTACATTACACTGTCTGTGTTCTAGCATTATTTACATTACACTGTCTGTGTTGCAACACTATTTACATTACATTGTCTGTGTTCTAGCATTATTTACATTATATTATCAGTGTGCAACACTTATTACATTACATTGTCTGTGTTCTAACATTATATTATCTCTGAAGAGTCTCACTAATAAATAACAACTACTATCATTACTAAGCCAGTAACTTATGGAGCATTTCTCAAGGAAAACACGAGAAAAGGAATGTGGCGCCCTCTTTTGAAAGTCAGTAAAGCATATTTTATCAGTAATAACTAAATTTAAAATTTTCACTGCTTGAGTGGGGTGTAAATCATCCACCCCATGAACAAAATTTTCTTTTTTACCTTATGAAATCGTAGTATAGCAAGCAAACGTAGAGAAGAATAAACACGACAAAGTTATATAATAATGACGGGAGATGAACCTCACTGACCGCAAGAAAAGACGGGAAGCCAAGCAAGACTTGTTTTTTACAGGTATGCTATCGTATTCCTCTCTTTATTTCATGCAATTGCACAGCACTGGTCGTGAATAACCCGACATTACACTTAGTACAGTTATATAAGTCACTAAAACTACCGATATTTACACTATATCTATGTATAGGCGTCAGGGGTGGCATCTATGGGCCACTGGTTCAACTAAATATTAACTCGAATTTAATTTTCAAACGGTAGTAGCAAAATCCAATATATTATATGGTGCGCGGAGCAGAGAAAGGGTTAAGGAACAAATGACATCTTAATGGTGTATTTAAGTGTTTT